GTAATAACAGGCTTTTAAAAAGATGTAACGTAAGGCACAGGAGGGGCTATTTTATTTTTCTCCTTCTTTAAAGTGCTCATACAGAAAGCAAGCTGAAAAGGAGGGAGAGCACACACACGGTTGACTGAGACAAGAAAAAAAATGGCCAAGAAAAGTATAAAATGACTCTCAGCCTCACTACAGAAGTGCAAGCTAAACTAGGAGACCCCACGTGCCTGTCAGAATGAAAGAGACAAGCAAGTCAGCGATCTGCCAGTCCGGACAGAAGCAGGTGGACATGTCACTGGGAGACAGCAGAGAGGGACAGGCAGCCATGGGATGGGGCAGGGCCCCTGCCTCTTCAAACGCAGTTTGTGGGGGACACAGACACTCCAGGGGCTCGTCCCTCCCACCAGCTCCCTGGCACCAGTAAGGGGAAGCTGATCTATTTTATTTCTTTATTATTCTAAGCTTTTTAAACTCTTTTTAAAAAATAAAAAAGAAAAGAAGGAGGGAAAGCTGCCGTCTTCCCTCCTGTCATTCCGACTCACTGAGCTCTGAGCTGCCTGGCTGATCCTAATTCCTACAGGGGCAAGAATCTGACAGGGACGCACACACCTTCCACGTCCACACCGGGCCTGCGTGACCGTGTAATCAGCTCCCTGGGGTTCCTTTCCTGAAGGAGTGCCCAAGTGCGGGTGGAAGCCTGCGGACTGGAGCACAGGAAGCAGCCGCAGGGACAGACCAGGCCGCCCCTCCTAAGCGTGTGCGACCGGACCCACGGCACGGTGCCGCTCCAAGCCTTTGTCTCAGCTGCACATGGGTAACAGCCTGCCCTGTCCAGGGGTGGGCAGCTTTGCCCCTGGAGAGTAGGCGGTCAGGCCTCTGCTTGGTCTTTCAGCACATGGCCCGTTTGCCCCAAGGAGCCTCAATTCCTGCTCTACTCTCTCCACTCCCTCAATTTACTTCTGGACTTTTCCAGACAGAAACGTGGGGAGAGCTGCTGTCTTCCATCCTGCCATCCGCTGCACTGAGCTGCTTGGTCAACATCCTAATTCCCACAGGGGCAAGAACCTGACAGGGACGCGCACACCTTCCACGTCCACACCGGGCCTGTGTGACCGTGTAATCAGCTCCCTGGGGTTCCTTTCCTGAAGGAGTGCCCAAGTGCGGGTGGAAGCCTGCGGACTGGAGCACAGGAAGCAGCCGCAGGGACAGACCAGGCCGCCCCTCCTAAGTGTGTGCGACCGGACCCACGGCACGGTGACGCCAACCCCACGCCCGGTGCAGCTGCCCTCCTCTGGCAGCTGTCTCCTCATGCACCTTTTGGGATGGGAGTGTGTTTCTTTTCTGTAAAAAAATCTTTTCTATTAAAATGTTTCTTAAAGAATTATTTAGTTAATTGTATTTATTATTATTTTTCTAAATTTTCTATAGGGCATGTGAGCTCAGGAGAGAGAGAGGGAGAGAGACAGAGGGAGGGGGGGGAGAGAGAGAGAGGAAGCAGCCCTCCAGGTCCAGGTCTCCAACCACAGCTAGCCATATGGGAGTCCAGTGCCTTAATCATCATGCCACCTGCTGGCCCTCAAAATTTCTCTGTTTCTACTTCACTTATGTTTGTTTGTTTGTTTGTTTTTTCATTCTGCATCTCAGGGCAGGTCTCTAACATTAGAGATCCAGACCTAAAGAGCTGAGAATTTGGATTCAGCTCCCCCATCCAGTAACAGAAACAAGCTCGTTGACATCCCCTTTGGTGGGCGAGGGAAGAAGCATGTAACGAAATTCTAAACTACACAGAATCCCACTACTAAGACTCTGCTACGGGGGCCAGCAGGTGGCACAGCAGTCAAGGCTCTGGACTCCATGGCAGTCCGTGGTTCAAGTACTGGATCTAGTAGCCCCTCTTAGACCTCAGTGTGGAGGGCTGACGTGTGTCTCTAAGTTACTGCCTTCAGACATGGAGAGTGAGAGCCATCGTTTGCTGATGCCAAAAACCAACAACCAACCAAATAAAGGGCAGATTGAAGTGGTCCACAGGACACCCAGAGATAACAGAGCAGCCTAGGTGGAGGAGGGCCAGCTAGCCCCACCCTTCAGGGCCTCACAGTTCCATCTGGACCCTTTCCTCTTTAAGAGAGTGAAGAAAACTTTTCTATTTGCTTTCTTTCTGAGTTTGTAAATTCTTTTTTTTTTTTTGAAGAGGTTTTTGCCATAGGGCGCGTGCACTCGCCAGACAGACATAGACAGAAAGCGAGAAATCACCCCCCAGGGGGGATGGCCACGCTGCAATCCCATCTCCTCTATTCTCCTCTCGGGATCTCGGGCACACACACACACACACACACACGCGCGCGCCCGGCGTGAGTTTAAGTCACCGGGTCCGGGACGCGAACTGTGGTCAACTACGTGGGAGTCCAGTGACATAGCCATTATGCTAACTGCTGGTCCCCTGAGTTTGTAAATTCTTGAGTGGCCTGTGACAAAGACCACCCTAACACAAAGTACTCATCAACTGAGAACTAATTAAAGTGGCACATAGAAATACTATGTGGATACTTTCTAAAAATAAGATAAAAGCCAGCTGCGGTGGAGCGCACGGAGAGTCCCAGCTCCTCGGAAGGCTGAGGCGGAGGACTGCGGGTTCAGCCAGCATGTGGCTCACTTATTTGGAGGCTCAGTTAGGAAGACTGCAATACAGCAAGAGCCTGTTTACAAACAACAGAGAGAGAGAGAGAGAGAGAGGGAGAGAGGGAGAGAGGGAGAGAGAGAGGTGTCTACACATTGACAGAAGAAGATCTCTAAGGTATGTTAGATTTTTAAAAGCAAGGTACAGCCTTTGTGCGATCAGATGTTTCAAAAACAATCATTAGAAAAATTAGATGTATTTGAGTTTTCTTACTCATGTCAAGTATCGTAATAAACTGTTTATGGAGGTTACTTGTAGAGATGAGAAAATATAAGTTTTGTATCTCTGTTCTGTTTATACTTTTTGTTTCTAATTTTTGCCAGAGTGCATGTGTGGCTGCCAGAGAGGCAGAGACAGAGGGACAGGGAGATGGCATCCCCCTCCCACCATAAGACATGGTCACACTGTTAGGCCGAGGCCTGGGCGGCTTGGATGTGGGGGTTGGATGCCACGCCCTAGTCGGCTGATGCAACCCGGATCTAGTCTTCAGACCTGCGCTGTGCTCAGATCTAACCCAGATGTAGCACACGGTGCTCCACTCTGCACACGGCGCTCCACTCTGCACACAGCGCTCCACTCTGCACACAGGGTTCTATTCTGCACATGGCGCTCCACTCTGCACACGGCGCTCCACTCTGCACATGGCGCTCTACTCAGCGCATGGCGCTCCACTCTGCACACGGCACTCCACTCTGCACATGGGGTTCCACTCTGCACACGGCGCTCCACTCTGCACACGGCGCTCCACTCTGCACAACACGGCACTCCACTCTACACACAGGGTTCTACTCTGCGCACGGCACTCCACTCTGCACACGGTGCTCTACTCTGCGCATGGCACTCCACTCTGTGCACGACACCAGACCTTACGTGGCACAGCAGTCTGCTCTCCCCCTACGCCTTTACCATACATGGACTGTTTCCTCTGAGACACTCCCCCTCCCTACCCTTATAATAATCGCTAAACCCCACCCTAGGGCGCAACTTCTCTGGCCCCCTCTCTGCTTCTCTGTCACACTAGTGAACCTCATCTGGGAGCGTTCCCAATAAAGGCTCTATATTTCTATTTTCTTATGTGGTCAGCCCATTCCTTACAAACACCCAATCCCTCCATTTCTCCCTCCTTTTGGGATTTGGGGCACACATGTACCCAGTGTGCCTCTTAGGCTGCCAGGCCTGGGACTCAGACTGTGAGGCCAGCCATGTGGGATGCAACTGCCTTAACCACCAAGCCATGGAGCCAACTCCTATTTATTCTTTTAACTTTGCACACATAATACTATAAAAAGTGACCACGGGGGACCACCTGGTGGCACAGAGATTAAGGTGACTAGATCCTCATGGCTGAAAGCTCAGCTCCATCCCAGACCTGGTGGCTTGAGGAGCAGCCCAGGTGTCGGGGCATGCACACCCAAATCCCCCAACAGGAGGGAGCATGAAGGAGAGGGGTTGCAGCAGGACCAAGCTCAAGAGGGTGCTTTCTCAGTCCCCTCCACTACTGTGAGCATACACACCTCTGGCCAAAAAAAAAAAAAACCACATAGGTATATTCACTGGATGTTATGGTCCATTTTATTATTTTCTTCTTCTTGCCTCTCTGTGGTTAAAACCAAAGAAAAGCACTAACATTAAATTAATAGAAAATTTATTAACATTAAAGTAATAGAAAATTAATCGTAATAGCCCAAATTAGGATATGATTATTCCATTTTATGTTTAGCTTCTACACTTACGGTTTTTGGTACAAAATAACAAAACAGAACTAAAACTGACTTTTAAGCCAGTTTTTAAGCAAATGCATGTAATTTATCAGTACCTTTCTTTAGTGTATTACCTCCAAGCCATCAAATATCTGTATAAAGCCACATGGATCTCTACTCCATAGTAACCTCTATTTTACAGTGTAGAGGGATTCCTACAAGACTTGGGAAGGACAGTGCTAGTAAGTGAACAGTATCCCTCCATTATACAACTGAAAATGAGTTTTTGTCTGTTTATTTTGTTTTTAAGGTTTTTGCCATAGGGTGCATGAGCTTGCCAGAGAGACAGAGGGAAAATGAGAAATCACTCCCTGGGA